TCGGCCGACCTGCGAAGTGAGATGAGGCGAAATGAGAAACAAGACGACATACGAGAGGAGGCGCTTCATCCATGCCGGGCAACTCACCGTCTTAGTCGTGCCATTCTGATCCCGTTCGCACCAACCGCCGTTATCCGACCGCTGCGGTTTCTGCAAACGAGAGATCAAAACATGATGCCGCAAATCAAAACTAAAAGAAAGTCGTTTTAGTAAAAAGAATGAAAATTTCACTGAAAAAATAATTCCGTTATATTACAGGATATAACGAATCGATATTGTTTTGAATGAGTCGTTTTCGAAGAACCAATTAAATGTTCAATGAATTTTTTTTGTGATATGTAGTATCAATTTTTCAGTGGGATACCTCCTTCATCACAGTAAAAAAAAAAAAAAAAAAAAAAAAACATGTATTTTAAGATCCGGTCTTGGATCTTATGGAGAATGCCATACGACCGGGTCTTGAAATTCAAGGGAACGTATTTCTTTTATCGTTTAGTGCATTGATAGGACCTTCAAAGTAACACGAAACCCGTGGATTCGCGAATACCACCCGGACCATCACACAATATCGAAAACAATTCACTTCCCTTCTTATAAAACCATACGTTTCCCGCTTTCGGAGCGAGGGGGCCACCACTCGCGTAATCCTAATCCCTATGTAATCCTCGTGAATTCCGTGAAATGCTTGACAAAATTTTAGAACATTATCACTAAATTTAACCTTGTTGTCCAAATTAATCGGTTTTGGAGCCAGAAATTTAACCAAATTCACGTGTAATCCCTCAAAGTTCACGTGTAATCCCTGTAATCGCGTAATCCTGTGTACATCCTAAACCGTAGTGGTGGCCCCCTCGTTTGGGAGAGACTTATTTCACTTAAGCTAATTCGGTACGTGGGGCACTGTAACATTTTCTGTTAAAGGGTCTGCAACCTGCTGCTACTCGCCTTGAGCCCGCACTGAGAGAAGCTATTAGTCCGTATGACTAAATTTGTGTTGAAGGAAACAAAATTTACTCCCTATATCCAACGAAACGTTTAATCAAGCTTTTACAATTAAATGTGACCAGCCCAACCAAAAATATTGTCAAACTGATTACTTTATATCGACCTGACAGAATTATTCAATCAACACGATTGAAATTTGGTCGACGGAAACAACATTTCGTTGGTTTCCTCAACACTAAATGTAGTTGAGTTGAACAATCGGTGTTTTGAGTGCGACCTTTTATAAGTTTTGATTATTGTGATGAAGCTAGCGATGCCGGTGCACTTGGGAAAACCAACGTGACATTGTGTCACATTACAAGTGTGACATCTTTAGCATGTCGCCTGTGTGGTGTGACCGTATTTTTGGTCACGTTTGTGGTGTGACCTCCTATGTGTTCTCCCTATACCCTAGAGAGCTCTTGGCTGATGAACCATCCATTGGTGTGACCTAAACTCGGGTCACATTACATGGTGTGACCAAAACCAGTCACACCAATTGGTGCCACATAAGTTTTTCCAGTGTGCATGCGAGTGCTCGCTACTCACCTGGGCTCTGCGGGGAACGGCGCGCTGCTCAAAGTCCTGGAGCGGCTGGTGATTCGACAGCCATCCTGCGGGTGAGAGACAGACGGGGACAGACTTAACCAAAGTGCACTTTAAACGCCGACGCGCGCCGCTCTCGCCTTCTCTCTCTCTCTCTCTCTCTCTCTCTCTCTCTCTCTCTCTCTCTCTCAAAAACACACACACACTCACCACATGGAGCAGGCGCAGGGTTTAGCTGCCTCTCGGAACAGCCGCGGATCATCGGCACCCTGGGCTGGCCTAGAACACAGACACAACAAAAAATTAATTTGTGAAAAAAAGAAACATCTTGTTAAAAAGCGAATATACTGAGAATAATAAAGGGTGTATAAACTGCGAAAAAATACTCCATTAATATTATACTTATTTTGTCGTATGTTTTGAATCGTCGGAACTACTGAATTGGGAATTGACCTACTGTTATTAATTCTCAATAGGAGTACTATTCTTGACGTGGGAAAGTTGCAAAAGTGTACTTGATAACTCTGTCAACTCAAATGCATACTCTGTCAATTCAAATGTGTACATTGAACACTTTAAATAAATTGTACATGGCATAGTATGCTTTAAATAATGTGTACATGCCTATGTACACATTTACAAATGTGTACATGCCTATGTACACATTTACAAATGTGTACATGCCTATGTACACATTTACAAAAGGGTACATGCCCATGTACACTGTAAAAAATTTACGTGATTTTTTTTTTTAAAAAGGTACGAAATGCTTCGTAAAAAATAATTTACGTATTTTTAATTTACGTAACAGTTCGTAAAGTTACAAATGTA